ACCCGCTCGCGAAGTTGTGGTATGATACCGCTTGCGCTCCAGGGATGGGACGCCGACAACGGCTGGCTTCAAATTCCGATAGTCGCCGGATCAGCTCCCGATCCAGCCCAGTGGATCTTACCTCCACACCGTTGACTCCCATAGAGATTGAGCCTGACACACCGGAGGCCTGGCCAATCACTGTMGAAGCGTTGCGACGAAAACAAATTCCGTTTGAGGTGTCCCCCGACTCTCCTGCTCGGGTCATGTTCGGGACCTGGGATGGACACGACGCGTTGGTGATTCTCCGCTCACTAAACCAGGACCAGAGAAACGGTGACAGGGAATGTTCCATCTGTCATGATACGTCAGCAGAGGACACCGTCTACTTGAAGTGTGAGCAGTGTCGCACCGACATCCACCTGCAGTGTATGGAGAGTTGGCTCGAGGCACGGTCGACTTCGATCAACTTTGACTGTCCGATATGGTAGGGTCCCTCACCTGTTGCTCCCTTCCAGTGAGCGTTAGCACCCTACTGACCAGTCCGCAGTCGAGAGCACCGATGGTTTGATGTTATTTACTCAGCCCCCGTCGCAACGAGACAGAGAAGAACAGCGCCTGAGAGTCCTGAAGAGACTATCACTGTCCAAACGGAGGTCTCCTCAGGAGAATCTGCTGCGCGTGCTCCACGTCGGTCCGGCAGGGCAAGGAGACCACCTCGCCGTTATGTCTGAGTGACACCCTCGTAATTAGTTTTTCTCCCCCTTGTTTGAAGAATTGTTTTCGGGTTAGGAACACGTTATGTCGCACTGGAAATCCGCGAAGATTTAATATTTGGATTCTTTAGCTACATGAAATGAAATGCGACTTGTTTGCTCCCAACACAAGACAGCACTTTCGAGGACATTTAGGCAATGTAGCCCAGGAGCTGGTAGCGAAGAGCGCGGTAACAGGCGAGCAGGGTGAAGCGAGGTCCTCACAGATGCATGAGTAGCGAAAACGGGAACAAACGGAATGGGCAATAAGCTACTGTAACCATACGTTGATCAATTGTTTGTTCATGGCCACTTGGGCAGGCCCTCAGACCTGTAAACCTGCTGCTGTTAGCATATTTTTACCCCGTTTCACCCACCCGGCAAAACACAAGAGGAACGCCAAATGGCAGTAGGAAAATTGTGGCCCATGGCCAGCAGTCCTCTACAACGCTTGACGGTTCCTGGGGCTACTGACTTTCCTAGGAGAGCGAGCCCACTTTCCAGGAGCGTTACTTGCACGCCTGAGAGCGAGCTGGATGGTTCTAGGTGTACTATTGCTCCTACGATACTGAAGCCCCCTCCGAAGAAGATAATTATCGTGCGGTAATACAGGGTGATGAAGGCCTTTCTATCAAATCATTGCCCCGGATAACAGGACAATAAATAGTGGGACTGTCCGGCTCAGATCATATTGATACCCTGACTTCTAACCTACGACATGGCGAAAGAGCACTCCGGAGGTCGACAGCAGAACAGTTGCTATTCAAAGGATACTAATGTTCTTCCGCTTGGTATCACAGATCAGACAGATATTCTAGAGAAAATGACGGTTCTGGACCTTCCTATTGAAATGCTCTTGTCTATTGCTGAGGAGTTTGACAGTTCCCGCGACATCTTGTCCTTTGCCCGAGTTAATAAGAGGGCATATGGCCTGCTGCGGTCGGCTCTTTACAAATTCAATATCCAGCAGCAAAACGCCTCGGCGTTGCACTGGGCCGCATGCAACGGAAGGCCGCTCATGGCGAAGATGATGCTGCAGCGCTACCTGTACGATGTGAACGCTGTCTATTGCTCCAACACGCCGCTTATCTACGCCGTATTTCACGGTTCTACAACGGTTGCTCACATTCTCCTTGCCAACCGCCATATCGACGTCAACTTCCAGAACAAAAGAGGGCAATGTGCCCTGTGGTGGGCCGCACGCCGTGGTGGTACAGATATTGTTGAACGATTGCTACAGCGCGATGATGTCCAAGTTGACAACCGCGATCTAAAGGATCGCCTTACTCCGCTGGGCGTTGCAGTATTGAAGGGGCACGAACGAATCGCGCGGCATCTCTTGAACACGGGCCGAGTGGATGTCAATGCACGGAACCGACAGAGGCGGACCCCCATTTTTCACGCGCTTTCCCGAGATGACCGGACTATAACGGAAATGCTTCTTGCGGATGAGAGCGTCGACCTGTCCTGCCAGGATGTCTGTGGCCGCACCCCCCTTATGTACAGCGTCTTAAAGGGCCGGACCGAGCTGACAAAGTTACTCTTGGGCCACTCAAGGCCCTACGTCGACGTCCGGGATAGTAAAGACCTAACGGCCCTTTGGTATGCTGTTCGAATGGGAAATGAAGAAATCGTCCAACATCTCCTGGAAGGCCATTCGACACTCTTACGTGATGCGAACCATGGCATCGGCGGCGAGCAAGCGCTACTGTGTCTGGCCGCCTACCTAGGGAAAGATAAGATGGTGCAACTATTTCTTGATCACGGCTGGGACGTGAACGAGGTGGATGCACAAGGGCGAACGCCATTGCATCTGGCGGCGCAGCAAGGACATTTTTTAGTCGCCCAGGTCCTTTTGAACCGCCCACAAATCAATTTGCGCGCGCAGGAACAGTGGGGATCGACGGCCTTGCATGAAGCCGCCAAGCGAGGGCATTTGGCGGTAATCGAACTGCTTCTGGCTAAGCCAGGGATAGCCATCAACATTGAGGACGTGAATGGCGCCCACCCACTCTGGTGGGCTACTAAAGGCCGCCACAACGATGTGGCCGCGCGACTGCTGGACGAACCGAATATTAGTGTTAACGCCATCGGCAAATTCGAGGCACCTGAGCCGGATTCATCAACATGCCTCCATCATGCGGTCCAAGCGGGAGCAATGGAGATTGTCCGCAAGCTTTTGGCGGTGCGGGCCCTCAATCCCAATGTCGGCGACCACCAGAAGTGGACTCCGCTTTGCTGGGCAGCTAACCAAGGGAATGTGGAGATGGTGGAGCTACTCCTCACCCGGCCGGATATACGGGTAAACGGGGTCGAGGGAAAAGAAGCTCCGCCGCTCTGTTTAGCCGCAAGGGAGGGCCAGATCCAGGTAGTCCGTCGCTTGCTACAGTGGCCAGGCATTGACATCAACCAACAATGGGGTGCCTATCTGCCACCACTCCTGGCTGCCATCACCAACGGTCATTCGAACGTAGCAATGTATCTGCTTGGGTGCGGGAAACGATTGGACGTCAACGCCCAAACTTACGCGAAGGAATCCGCACTGTCTCTGGCAGCGCGCCAGGGAGACCTACAGGTGGTCGAAAGTCTCCTGCGCGACTACCGCACAGACTGTAAAAGCGTCGACGACCGGGGACGCACTGCATTATGGTGGGCGGCCCATACGGGCCAGAAGCCGATTGTGGAACGGTTGCTGGCGGACGATCGTGTCCTGATCGATGTTGCGGATGACGAGGGCATAGACGCTCTGAATGCCGCGCGGCGACAGTATCATTTTAATACTGCCAGACTCCTACGGGCTCACCGGCCTGGACATCATTCGAGTAGCGATGGCTTTCGCCATCCAGCTACCAGTATTTCATAGTGTCGCTTCTGGCCAATATATGGAATGTTCCTTTTTGTGCATATTGGTCATAATGCCTGAATAACCCCGGCTGTGGCACGCAGGTCAAAAAATCTGCACAGAATGTCGCGGAATATAGACCCGAGGGATATGCGGTGCGTGAGTCGCCCCGTTTGTTTGCTCATCTCGTGCATGCTGACTTTTGTGTAGTAGACTCGAGTGTACTTCGAATCCGCGTCAAGGGCGCTAGCTTTCTGGTAACCCTTTCAGACAGTAATTATCCATGATGTATTGTAGCTTGAGGCGCCCATTCAGAAAGCGTTGCATGCCGCTGGGTATATTTCACCTGGTGCGTCCTCTGGATCTTCCCGTCTTCCTACTTTGGACCGGCTGATGGCTCGATTGCTGTCGCAGGCAGTACCTGGGGCGCAGGGGGAGGAGATGAGTTAGGGACCGTTCCATAGGACAACACTTCAGAACGTGGTCGAACGACAACACTTACTGACCGCATCGCTCTTCAGTCGAAGGTTCAGTTCCTGGTATTGTTCGGACTCCCATGAGATTCCTAGACATGTGACAGCTCCTCATCTGTATCATTAGCTGGACATTTACAAGGTCCCTGACGAATGAGGTGCATGGCCGACACATCCATGCTATTCCAAGGTATCTCTCATTCCTTGCCTGGCCTTTGCCCTCAGGCAACACCGCTAGCCCTTCGGCTCTCCTGGGTCTCTGCATCGTTGGAGATTTCGTTGGCCAATAGATAGCKGCGATATCCAGATCCCGCTGGGCCTACGCCATTCCCTAGGAAGCAACGACGAATCAACCTGCATAAGGAAGTCGAGCAGGGAGGATATGAGCAACAAAGAAACCTCATGGGAGGATAGCCATTGCTCACGTAGCCAGCCCATGAAACAATGAGAAGACGTAATCCCATATCTGTCCTAGCATCATTTCTTGATAGCATCATCACCGCCAGGGATGACTGTTTCATTGGCATTGGCAAATTTGATCGTGAGGTGACACAACTAAACCCGACCCAGTCTGAGCGTTATCTGAAAGAGGGATAGGGGTGGATATTGGATGACAAATACTTAGTTTAATCAGTTGAGAAAACTACGCCACGCTCATCCCGCCCAGCCTATTCTCTTTACTCGAGTACGCCGCCGGGATGCTGCTGCGGATTACCCATAGGGAAGCATCAATGGACGTTACCCGCTGATGATTAATTTGACCACAAAGTTCCTGAAAGGATTGTGTTTGATGCAATTCGAGCGTAAGTGGACCAGAGCAATGCTACATATGCGGAGTCCCAAAATGATGGGCGCTGGTCTTCCTATACTCTGTATTCATGCCAAGCGATCTGGTCGTCGTCCGGAGACTATCGCGTGGTTTCTGAGAATTTGACCCGCATCATGGATGGCGATCAAGCGCTCACAACCGCCTTATGGTTTTTGAAAGTTGGCCCTCCCAAAGGTATCTTAGTATAGTGCGATTCGTGGACTTTCCGGCATTTCTGTAGGCTCTCATCGCACCCCACAGCTGACTGGATTCATTCGGTTGCAGAAGCTACTCGGGCATGAAAGACTAGCTTGTACTAACCACAGCTGTTGCTGCCAAGGCAATCGCGATTTTCTTATTCCAGCGTTATGTGACGAGTTCTGGTCTTAACGGGGTGAAAGTATTAGCGATAAGTTTATTATCTTGTTAAGACACCCAGGTTGGTATCATTTGCGCGGTGCCATAGGTCGCGCCCATCTGTCAAGTGTGCCCACAATGGACCGTCTTGGATTGAGGAACAGTTGTTCTTGAAGCAAGATCTGGTCATCGATGGTCATTTGGGGAAGTAGATCCGGGCTTGCTCTAACGGTCATTATGTGCCCCTGGGCATTTTGTATGAGCGACCGCTCGCAGAGATAAGGATGACCGGTATGCTTGCCCAGTACTCGACGACTATTCATATCGTTCTTGACCACACCTGGCCATTGTAATAAGATTTAACGGGGCTGGGCGCTAGTGCTGCACAGTTGGTCTCGTCGGGCCACCGGAACGGCTGGAGATATAAGGCAGGCGCCTCCCAGTTATATCCACGTCAGGACCAGACTTCCTGTTCTCCCTCACAGGAATGGCGGACCTGTGTTGTACCTTCCCCCTCACAGGAATGGCGGACCTGTGTTGTACCTTCCCCTTCACAGGAGTGGCGGGCCTG